TCCTGTCTTCATCCTTGTCCCCATCCCTGTCCCCAGTTCTATCCTCAACTCTGTCCCCTTTCCTGTCCCTATCCCTGTCCGAATCCCTGTCCCTACCCCCGTCCCCAGTTCTATTCTCAACTCTGTCCCCATTCCTGTTCCCATCCCTGTCTCTATTCCTGTCCTCATCCCTGTCCCCAGCCCTGTCCTCATCCCTGTCCCTATTCCTGTCCCCATCCCTGTTCCCAGTTCTATCCTCAACTCTGTCCCCTTTCCTGTCCCTATCCCTGTCCCCATTCCTGTCCCCAGCCCTGTCCTCATCCCTGTACCTATTCCTGTCCCCATCCCTGTCCCCAGCTCTGTCCCCACTCCTGTCCCCATCCCTGTCCCCATCCCTGTCCCCAGCTCTGTCCCCATCCCTGTCCCCAGCTCTGTCCCCAGCCTGTCCTCATTCCTGTCCCCATCCCTGTCCCTAATCCTGTGCCCATCCCTGTCCCCAGCTCTGTCCCCACTCCTGTCCCCAGCCCTGTCCCCAGCCCATCCCATCCCCATCCCTGTCCTCATCCCTGTCCCCAGCCCTGTCCCCAGCCCTGTCCCCATTACCAGGGCAGGTCTGCAGGCCCTGTGAGGAGGAGCTGGGTCACACCAAACCCCAGGGACAATCCCCAGCCCAGGCTGTGCCGTGTCACAGCTCAGAGCCTGGACATGTCCTGGGTGTGCTGGGACCCTGAGCCCCCCCTGGGCTGGGCTGGGCCCCCCTGGGCAGCAGGAGGGGGGGATTCTGCCCCTCTGCCCCCCCAGGTGAGACCCCACCTGCAGAGCTGCCCCAGCCCTGGGGCCAACAGCAGCAGGACCTGGAGCTGCTGCAGAGAGTCCAGGGGAGCCTGTGGAGATGCCCCAAGGGCTGGAGCCAGGCTGGCAGAGCTGGGGGTGCTCACCTGGAGAGGAGAAGCTCCAGGGACACCTCAGAGCCCCTGCCAGGGCCTGAAGGGGCTCCAGGAGAGCTGCAGAGGGACTGGGGACAAGGGATGGAGGGACAGGACACAGGGAATGGCTCCCACTGCC